TTATTGGTTTCTAAACGCTTATATTTCACCTTATTTATAAAGCACGTGCTTTGATGATTCATTTAATCTTCTTAATATTTGGCGCCTTTTTGCTTGCTTTGGCCAAACTGTTAACTCTGGTCATATTCCAGCCTTGCTAGCACGTGCCTACTGCACAGTAGGCCTCTATTTTAAGATCTGCAATAATTACTATAACAACAAACCAAACTAAAAAACGATGGATTTATTTTGGGAACTATTACAAACTAACTATATGTGCGGCCAATTTAACGCCAAAGTGCTAGGCATTTGCCGTCGAAGTATGCCGCAGGTTGTAGACTGCAGCTAACAGTTTGTGAGCACGTGGCCCACGCGGTTAAAAACTTTTTTGTCACGGCGTATAATATATTCGAAATATGAGAAAGCGAAATGTTCTTGGCGTGTTGGTTTTTCACCAGAAAGACACTGTTGATTGTATCGCTATTCTAACCCATTACCATTCTATTGCATTCAAAATGCTAACACTTCCATCAATGTAAAATACAGAATTTTAATATCTTAACATTATGGAAACGAATAGATAACCACTTAGGTATCTGTCCTATGGCAAGCCATTATAACCCCTTAAGTTAGTTTGACCCAAAATGTACATTGAGAAATGCTAGGCTGCAGTAATCAGGTTAAGGAAGTCCGATGGTTTGCCGTTATTTCAAAAAATAAATGTACGTTATTTTGGTCTCAATTGGTTCTTGCTGTCTAAGAAATTATCTGAAAATTCGAACAAAACATTTCTGAACCACAGATATGCGAGTAATATCCACTCGCGTTATCTTCTTAATGTTGAGTTTTATGCGACCCTCGTGTTACATGCTGTCCACCCGGTCAATTAAAAGCATTTACGAGTTTATATGGTTCGGCTGTTTCCCCTTCGGAGATTTCCCTGGAGGTTTTAATTCCATTGTCGAGTCATTCGAAAATGGAGAATATTTGGACTCACTCTTCAATGCACAGAGTATAAAAAACTTTCGAAGATGTATCATCTTATAATCTAAGATATTCCATAATTGTCTCTATCTACACTAACTGACAAACTTAATGCAAGATGTCCGGATGTCTAATCATACTCTACCACAGTTTTTTGTTACCTGCGCTACACCTTAATTAACTAAGTATACGTACAAAGTGCTTACTGCTTATATTTTGACGGACGAAAAAATTTGATTTATTCACTGACTTTATTTAATTAACTTGACTTTTCACGTTAATATTGGGGCTGTATCTAACGAATGCCAGCAACAAAAAAAACATTTAAGAGCAAGAAACGATCCTCAAAATAAACTATTTGGAGATTTTCTATTGAAATATTAATGTCAACTGTCACAAACATACTGGTTGGAATTACGCTGATGTTGTAGCAGAAACAGCGACAATAACACAGTTTGCGGGTGGTTTATATTACGACATAGGTTAGCGACCTACGGCTAACCGGATTATCTTTATAATTATCTGTATAATTGTCCAATTAAGCAATATTATTGGCAATGTCTCCCTTTTTACGTTTATAGTCCCCTTTCTTTCGCGTTTTCTTCCATCGGATGTCTGTAAATTGTGGAAGAAGGGGAACAAAGTCAGGTTAGTTTTGACGCGACGTCTTCCATTTTGTGCGAGCAATCTTTCCCGAAAAAAGAGGTTGCAGGAACATATGATTCCGATTTGCAGACAAACGTGCTGCAGAAACACCTGCATTCGGTCTGCAGATCTTTGTCAAAAAATGTTCCTTTCATGCCACATTTATTCATAACTACTAATAGTTTCATTATTTCACCATCAAATATGTAAGACCATCCTTAGACCTCCGCTATATCAAAACGACGGACAATAAGCTTGAATATACTAGATATCCAGACTTATGCCTGTCACACATGTGCATGTCGTTACCGGTTTATAAGTTATACTCCTTTGAGGATTCCAGACCTCTCATTGAAGAAAGTTTTCATAAGTGTCACATGACGGGGTAACCCTTTTAGCCTGACTATGAGTGCAGAGAAGGACCTAATTATCCCCTCAGTTTACACTCTTCCAAACGACAGCCGAAGGATGTCCGCAAAAGTGGACCTCCCTTAGAAAAAGTACGGTGAATATGGGACTTCGGAAAGTCCTGAGTGTACATACTTTATTTAGTGGCTGCATCCTTCGGGAAAATATTCAACCCAAGGGCACGGTCAACTTCATTACTGCTAAAAGCTGATAACGTCACTATTTTATATTCTTTCAGAATGGACACTAGCCTATTGGACTTCAACAACAGAAACTGGGTTCGAGGAAAATTGAGTATCCTGCTGGATGGTAATAAACCTTTTGATCAGCGAATATGCATTTTGGATCATGAAAAGCGGTGCTATGAAATTATGGATGGAATCGTAAGTTTACCTAAAAGTCTCCATCATGCAATAAATGGTCAATTTTGAAACGAAATGTAG